GTGATCAATTATACACTGGTTAATAATTAATTTAATAATTAGTCGACTAAATTATTCGTGATTGTACATGTGATTAATTTAGATTGCTGATTTGCCGATTATTTTGGTCTAGGAAAATTCTCATCGATCGATACCCAGCACTGTATAGGAATGAGCCGATGACAAGAAGGCGGGCTCGTTAGTGACTATAGACTAGTAAATACGAAAAAAAAACACACACGAAATAGAGACACGTTTTGTTTTGTGTACACTATATACGACGATGCGCGACGAATGAAGCACGACAATTAGCGGATGGAGACATTCCGAGGTATCAATGGTGAGTCATCGAGATCGTGCTCGATTACGCGCGAGTAACTCGCGCAGCAATCTGTCGACGATGTTGACGACGGTTAACGAAATCGTAGTACTCGTCTTTTCGGATGAAGATGAAGATGATTTACTGACCGCCACGGTCGCGTGACGTATCAGAGATCACACTCGGCGTAACTAGCGGCAAACCGACTTGATCTTTGTCTCTGAAACCGACTTATCAACGATCATTTATTAAAGAAACTCCTGCTATTGTGGTCTGTACAACTTTTCGTACAATCAACGAAATCTTATTCGCATGTCTGTAATCTTCGTGCTTTAATAGGCATTGTGCACTGTAAACACTCGAGTTTCTAATAAAACACTGCGTATCGAAAACATCGCGAAAAATGAGATTAAAAGCACTAGAAGTCATACTCGTTGTGTTCCAAACTTTTTTTTATAATTAATGTGTTTTGCCGCAGCCATCTTAATAAATGATGTCGAAAGGAAACTTGTGTCCAAAATTCTTGCGAAAAATACGTCGGAATAAAAGGTCATGTCCGTAACCTGACACTTGTAATCGATTGAGCATACATTCGTCAAATGTTGCGAAAACTTTCCTTTTACTTTACAATCAATAAATAACCGTAAAATTAGCATGATAAGATCACGAGGAAAGTCAGGTTAAAGGAGAAGGCTGTACGATGTCACGTTAATTTTATGGTTATTTATTGGTTGTTAGAGCAAAAGAAAAGTTTACGGAATATTTGATAAATGCGTTCAATCAATCCCAAGGATTATCTCACGGACACATCCTTTTATTTCAGCATATTTCGTAAGAATTTTGAGGATGAGTTTTCCCGCTTTTCCTGACGTCATCAATCAAGAGCTCCGCGGCGAGAGACCAAGAGACCTTCAATGAAATCTTATTCGATGTATCTTTCACGCAAATAATTCATGACGTAATGGCACACAGTGTCGCTAAAATGTATACTTCTCTCAATAGCGCCACTCACGATCGCGATAGGCGGATTTCAGAGACAAAACGACGTGTCGTTGGTTAAACTACGAAGCACACGAAGAAGCTTACCTCGAAAACAGTGCATTCACTCGCTACATAGCTTGCCTACGTTTCCATTTATATTGCTCTCTCGCGCAAAGTAAATTTATGGACGAAGACTCTCACTTCCATCGGACGTTATCATTTTATTCGTATCACTTTCGCTACCTCGCAAGCACGACAAAACAGGACTTACAAAATCGAGACAGTGACAAACATTACGACGCAATACGCACAAGGTTAGTTTACATTCTCATTTATGTTTTGTTTTTTTTTTCTTTTCTACTTTATCGCGTCAATTTCATCGGTCCATTATTTCTCCCGGTTTCTCTTTCGTACTCGCGCGCTTCATCTCTCGCGTTCGTTTTCTTTTTTTTTTCGTACATCGATCGGGCAAACGATCGTTTCGGCAATTAAGATAAAAATACCAATACCTGGATGCGTGCCTAACTCTGAACATACTTAATGTTTTGGTCCTTATAAATACAAATGCTTAAACCTTAATATACACTGAGAAAGAATATTAAAAAATTAACAAATATTTATTTGGTACCATTAACATATTTACTTAAATTAAAATGTTCTTCATTTAAACCGAGTAAATAATACTCGGATTAAATGAAAGAAATTTTTAAGTAAATATATTAATAATATCTATCTAATAAATATTTGTTAATTTTCAGATATTTTTTCCTCAGTGTAGAATATATACACACGTATATTGAATATAGCGTACCCCTGAGAATTAATTATACGCTTGTTGTGTACAAATAGAACTCTTCGAACTGAACACAAAATTTCGCGAACAATCAAGTAAAATTTAAAATTTTTTATTAAAGAAGAATGATAAATGACGTAGTATATGAACTGTGACGGCGACGTCTGATGTCGTGTGTTTGCACATTAGGTTTAACTAAAGAAAAAGATTCTCTACCATTTTGCAAATGACCAGATTTTTCGTTCTTAATTAAAGAAGATTGATGCGCACAATCGTATACCAATCTTCTACTTAGCCGTTTGCAAAACTGTAGAGAACTTTTTTCTTCAGTTTAACTTAACTTACATGCACATGATTGCAGACGTTGCTATCGCAGATCATCCACTGTATCGCGCGTCATCCATTCACCAATCCTCTTTAATTAATAACTCAATATTTTACGTGACTGCTCACGAAATGGTAGAGGAATTTTGTGTTCAGTTTATATTTTACCTGCACACAACGGATGTGTCATTAATTACCAGACACCTTGCATACATACATTTTTTATTGAAAGCTCAAATATTGGTATCTCAAGACCAAAACAACGAGAATGTCCAAAGTTAGGCATGTGTCCAGACACTGGTACTTTACCTCGATTTCACTCGCGCTCGTTGCAGTTTCATTAAAGTCCAGCAAGTAGAAATTGTGGACGAATGATGCTCGGAACACATGCGGTACGTCCTACGATTATCGCAAATGTCGGACAGAATATATCGGATGGACCTCAATGAGGCAGTCTACGAACTCGCAACCGAAATGGGAGGAAACAAAAATAAAAAATAACGACAAATATCAGACTCTTTGATCGCTATCCTGGCGGCTGCGCGCAGGAAAATAATTCGAGTAGGACCTCTGCCAGGCTTGCAAACCGAAACTACAGCGATTTATCTTAGAAAGGAATACCGTTCTACAATATCGCAAAACGGACAAGCTAAACTGTGCAAAACAAATCGTCAAAGTAACATTAAAAACGGAGATGAAAGTCCGAGTTTCGCATCTCTATTTTTCTCCTTTTATATTTCTAGATAAGAATAATCGATATGACATCTCGCAGTTGCGCGACTGATACGAAAAATTTGAGAAAAATTGCTTCATCTCCGAAACGGAGGGTGTTAAATATCCGTAGAGCTTCCGCGATAATTTTATTTCGTGCAAAATTTTCATCTCTGATTTATATAATTGAATTTCATTAACGGTTCCCACGCGAATGGAATCCATCGCGTCACGTTTTGCCGAATTTGCGTTACTTAGCGCAGCAGAGGAGTCGCTTTTTGGCTCGCAATCTTGGCTCTTGCACGTCGCAAGATCGGACTATCTTTCCGCGCGCAGATTTATCACTCCCGGAACGCACAAGCGGACGGTATCGGCCAATTTGTACAACGGTGAACGACGTCGGACTTATTCCTCCGCGGCTTCCTCCTCCCCCGTCTCGGACTCTTTCTTCTTACTCGGGGCTTGATACAACTCCGGCACCTTCTCCCTCCAACCCTTGCCTGAAACGTTTAAAAAAGTCCGACTGGTTCCTCTCTGCCATTCTTATATTCTGATCCCAGTCGTCTGTGGTTCCGCCTGGAGTCGTCCCCTTCGTGTAAGTGTCTTGCTCTCTCTCTCTCTTTCTCTCTCTCTCTCTCTTGTTCCATCGTTTCTTTCGATTTGGCTCGATTTTTGTTACTGTGTAGTTCTCGAGCTGTGCTTTTCGAGCCCGGTATCGCAAGAAAAATCGCCGATACGTCGGTCCGTTAAGCAAAAGAAAAGAAAAAAGTCGTGGACCGCAGCTGATCGCGTGTCCTCGCAGGACACGGTAACGACGACGATAAACAAGAGTCGCGCTGACATCCGGTGGACCGAGATATTCGGTAATGTGTGTGTGTGTATGTGATTATCACTGAATGTGATTATCAAAAACGAGTGCAAGGTGCATGAAGTGGATGGGCGTACGTTGCCGTTTTTTTTTTAACGATTAGACACAATACCGAACAGTAATGCAGCCACGACAAAAAAGATGTACAAAAAGAAAATAGTGGGAATAGACCATGTTGTGTGACCAACAGAAAAACAGCAAAAAATACCAGATAAACACACGTGCTCGCCAGCACAGCACAAACAAAAGTTTCCAGACAGTGTAAACCCAGGTGTCAGCCAATCCAAAAAAGGGAGTAGAAAAAAAAAGAAACAGAAGAAGTAGAGAAACGAGAGGGCGGGGGCGAGGGCGGTGGTACGAAAAGAAAAGAAATAAAAAAGTGGACAAAGATAATTGCACACAACGGCGTCGTGGGGCCGTCTTTTATTTCCTCAAATCTATTCAAAGGATCGTGTTTCGAGCTGCGAGGGCGTCGTAGCTTTTCCGGAGATTCTCTCGAAAAGACATTTGCCTAAGGCAGACGTTTCTGCGACTTTCTGCGACGAAATTCTGTAACTGTGAAGATGCTTGACGATGCTTTAATCTCGTGGCAAGAACGTAATCGACGTTCCTGTCGAATTAGAGAGACGCTGCTTGAGAATTAGATGAAATTAGACAATCGAATAATTCCGATGAAAATGAGATGCTTGAGACTCAAATTGAAAGACACCTCAGACAGTACAGATGTCTAAAGTACATCTCAGAGACGTCTAAAATAAACTGAAATAAAGATGTCTCTTAAATGTCTCTAAGACTTTTTTTTAGACATTTGTGCCGTTTGAGTAGTCACGCGACTTGCGGCTCCGAAAAAGCTCTGCTACACCGCGTCCTCACCTGTCTCGCTCTAACGTGCTTCTAATTATGTGCATCGCGTACGATTACGTATAACAATGTCAATATGGGGCCATTTTCGAACGACAGCTGGTTCTCGAAGAGCAACTATTCTATTTCTAGGATAAAATGCCGTGGCCCCCGTTGTCGTCGTCGTCGTCGTCGTCGTTGTCGCCGTTATCGTCGTTATCGTCGTCCTCGTCATTGCGACACGGATCTACTCACAGGCAGTCGCGGCCGCCTGACGGTTCTTGCTGTAGTAGCTGAGGAAGTTGACGTCGTTGCGGATGTCGGCCGGCCGAAGGTCCGCGACCTTAAAGTACGGCTTTCTGACGGACTGCGGCTTGCCGGCGACGTACTTGACGCATGACAGGGTGCCGAAAGAACCCCTCTCGGGCACGTCATACCAACCAAGGTGTTCAATTTGCTTCTTCGCGAGGTTGCGGCCGGTCAGCAGTCGGCGAACGTAGTCGTGGCTGCGCATACGTTCCGGCACGATCTGCTCGAGGAAGTCGCTGGAAACCGCCAAGAGAAGTCGCTCGTTTTATTCTCCCGCGGAAACAAAAGCGAAAGTAACAAGAGTCACTCTGATGGATTGGTGCAAAAGATTTCTATTCATTCTTCTATTGAATTTCCGTGGAAAGTTTTAGGCATTAGAGAGAAAATGAGAAGTCCTCGTTAGACGTCTAAGCAAATACCGACATGTTGCTCGATTTTACTCGTGATGATTATCAATTTTTTGATCATTTTGTTTTCTGTTTTATTCGACAAATATGACGAACTTCTTTTGCACCAAATCGACGAATCTTTTCAAGCGACTTTTCTAACGGAAACTTTGTGATTAGTTTTATTGATTATGCATCATTTTCTTTCTCATCAAGATACCTTGCCACTGCCCTCGGCACGAACACGTGGACGCGGCGAAGAAGGGAGTCCACCCTCGCGCGTATCTCCCTCGTTTCGTCGTCGAACAACTGCGAAGAGATGAACACGTGGGACATTATTGGTATGAACAAACCGACGAATTTGTCTCGAGCAACAACATCGCGCAATGTTTCAACAGTGACGTAGCAAATGAATGTTTCTCAAACTCGCGATTTTTAGCCGCGCAATTAGGCATAGATAGCCGATATAATGGCCGTTTGATATCGAAATTCATTACAAGGTTAACTCTCATTTTAACGACAGCAAGAGTCACCAGAACATCGCTTTTTGTTGAACAAAAAAGAAAAAAATCAATTAAAAAAGGGAAAAATAAGAGTTCAAGCATGGATATTATAGTACAATAAAAACAAAAGTGATATTCGTGACCGTCCTCCAAAAGATGTGGGAGAAAAAAATTTTTTATTTAATGATTATAACGAGATTAAATGTTGCCAAACGTTTCGGTCCATTCGTGGACCCTCCTCAGTGATAAAAACGTCATATAAAAGATAAAACCCAATGTCAAAAAGCAATGCAGAACGCAGGTCCAAAAAGGAAAAATTCACGATTCTCTCTTTCTCTCTCTTTCTCTCTTGTATTCAACCGCAATTCTCTGTCAATCCTTACCGACGGACGCACACGCTGCTCTTTTCAAGATCCATCGTCAAGGACAGACGAATACTTGAATTATTGCAACGACGCGAACAACAAACGTTCGCGATGTTGAACGTCGCGACGAGGAATGAAAACAATGGTGCAGATGACGATGGGGATGACGACGATGACGGCGGCTCATGAGCGATGGCGACAACATGCAACGTGGTTTCACCACGTCGTGGCTCTCAGAATTACGGTCGATCGTTAGGTCGGAGATTAGGCCGGCTGCCAGACTTACTATGTTGTCACGGGAGTTTAGGTACTCTTCCATGTACGATCGGCTGGACGGCCTCGGCAGGTCGCGTATCCTGTTGAGCTCGGCTACGAGGACGCTGGGCCGCACGCGTGCCCGCACCCTTATCGGTACCATTGCACCGGAGTAGTATACATGGTGTACCGGCGAGTGAACTATGGTGACGAGCCGCTTGTGCGCCACGTATGGCATATGAGGAATGGTCCTCAACTAAGGGCATGAACTCGTCTTTACTAACCGCTCTCGCCCTATAACTAGCTGGCGAGCTCTGCGGCGAAGCGGACAGTTTGCTGGTGCAAGCCCCGAGATGCGCTGAGATGCGCCGAGAACGGTCAATCCGTCTGGTGATGGTTAAAGCGACGTACGCCGGCATAAATCGGCTTTCTCCTCTCTTTAATGACACGAGGAAGAATCACGTGTACTTTCTGGCGGCCGAAATGTGGACGTTCAGAGAGTGGCTCTTTAAACAATTGAGGAAAAAAGACGCGCGACTCATTATACAGGGTGTCTGGCAATTATTGGCGCACTCATTGCGCGCGGATAGAACTCGTCAAACTGAACGCAAAACTTCTCTACCGTTTCGCAAAAAAAATTTCGAGTTGCTCATTAAGGAAGATTGGTACATTGTCGCGCACAATCGTGCACCAATCTTCTGTAATTAATAACGAAAAATCTACGTAATTATTTGCAAAATAGTTTTTTGTTCAATTTGAGCTAATATATACAACGGCAGAGTTCGCCGCAGCAGCTTATTTATCGTATCACGTGTGATCGTTCACTAATCTTCTTTGATTGATAACTCAAAATTTTACGTGGTTGTTTGCGAAATAATAGAGGAGTTTTCTGTTCAGTTTGACGAGTTTTATCTGCATATAACGGGTGTGTCAATAATTGTCAGACATCAAGTATATTCTGTAAACTTCTTGAAATAGAAATTCACTGAGGACGAGTGAAAATTCATAGGCGATAGTGAAAATAGTGCTACACAGAATTACAAGAATGAATGTCTAACTCAAGTTTATTTTGGAGTGAATTTTGGAGCCGTATTTATGGCCTGATTTTGTATTTAAGATCGTTTTAAGTTCACCTTGAGTTGCTAAAAAGTCTCTTTTATATAAGCTATTTATATAACTTCTTAAAATGAAATTGGAGCGATTTTAAATATAAAATCTAACTATGAAAATACCGTTTTCAATCCATACGAATAAAGGTTTCAATCGATTGGAGTGAATTTATTTCTGTGGCGATAAAATATATATCAGAGATTCGCTCTGTCGATCCCGAGTGAAAGAACTCATTTCATCTGAGCGAAAAGTCGAGGAAATTCGAGTGACTCCATTATCACTCTATTTTTCAAGTGAAATTTCTCAGGAAGAAATTTAGAGAGTGTATACAAGAGTACATAATCAACGAAATTTATTTAGAGATGCTTCAAAATCTTTTCGTATGAATAAAGCGTCATCACCAAAGAATCAACGGCAGCGTAGCGTTCGGTGAGTTCCAGCCTCAAGCAACGACATGCCGAAACTTCACCACGCGAACGTGGCGCGTGGGGATCGCACAAGGAAGTCCCAGGGTGTACTTGTATATTAGCGAGCGTGTGTGCTCCACCTGTCAGTGCAAGAGGCATCAATGGGGATTAATCGTTACGTGCGTTACATTACCTTGAATTACACGCGACACCGTGAAGATGGATGTTACTGCGATGAAGTAGCGCTTTAGGATTAGTAAACATCGAGATCTGAAATTAATTAGTGCGAGACGGTGTGAGAGCGGCGAAGCGTCGGTCTTTCGCAAGAGCTCCTCCCAAAATTATCGGCGGGCTTTGCCTAACACCCTGTTGCCGTTCTCACGTTGCAACTGTCAAGTCGTGCGAAAATTAGACGTGTACATGCGTGTACAAACATATATGCATACACACAGACAATTCATAAAATTTATCAGCGAAGTCAACATTATTATACATATTTACAGATGTATCGCCATCTTGTATATGCATATCACGTTGATTGTTTGTACATTAAATATCTATGATCGTCGAACGAGGCGTGGCAGGTGTTAAACATCGCTATCCGGCACAGGCAAAAAGAGATTGATCGATTGACACAATCTTCGATGAAGCTCTAAATTCTCCCAAATCGTAAAGCTCCAAAAATGTTCAGGTAAACTGAGAACACGAGGATGGAAAGAAGCGCAAATTTGAATGATCTTCCTCGGTCCTTATCGTGTGCAATTTTCGGAACTTTATCGATATTATTGACTATTTCATAATTGCTATTATTATCATAGTGCTATTTTCATAATTTCTACGTTAATCTGTACACTGAGAAGAAAATGTTTGTTACTTGTAACTATAATCACATAAAGAAAAAAATTACTATAAATCAATTTGTTAAATTAAATTATACTGTTTGTTATTTGTAACTATAATAATACCATAATTATAATGTTAGCAATAATAACCTCATGTGCATGTCACTATACTATTTTGCTACAAAAAATATGGTTAGAGCCAAAAATAACTATAAGCTTAGATAGAACAACAATTTTCTTCTCTCAGTGTAATTTTATATACTTTCGAAAGTACAGCTATGCCAAAAGGAGAGAATATTCAGTTGCAGTAAGAAACGCGCAAAGAGGTGCTAGTCGATTCCGATGCCAATTCACGTCGAGGAGAGCAAACCACAATTGGTAACTCTTTAGGATTTAACAATCGCTCATTCTTTCTTTTCTTTCCTTTTTCCACACAAAGCCAAATAGTCAACATGTAAGGTCGCGCGAGTGAATCCTATTCTATTTTATTTCGATAATACATTTGTAGAAAGAAATAAGCCCGACGTTATTTGTTATTCGATTTGCCGGGCTTTATGCACTGCAGCTCGGGGCGAGAAGAATCGAGCTCGAGAATCACGATAGCGAAATCAGAATCGACGATCGCACCTGTTGCGTTCTCGACGAAGACGGTCAACCATATTCGCAGGTCTCACCTCGGTCGTAAAGCATCGACGAGCTAATACCTACCTGGATGATGCTGGAGAGCGGTAGGACGATGGGTCGATACTGGTCGATCGTGTGTTTACGTTAAAGGCAGGTTTTTGTGTTTGGTTTAATCGGGGGATTTTGTTTGTTTGTTTGTTTGTTTGTTTTTGTCCGTCGAAGCCCAACGATGGCGATCGTGATGGCAGTTGTGACGGTGACGATGGCAACGATGAGACGGCGGTGGGGTGACGGTGGTGGCCAAGGCGACGGTGTCAGTGACGACGGCAGCAGCGGCGACGAAGGGCGAGGAGTCACGTGTGGGAGGCAGAATAAATAGAAAGAAGAACAACACTCGGTTAGTGACTCGGGTGGCGTGTTGTACCGTTCCTTCGTCTCGTTACTCTTCTCGCTACTCTTTTGTTTCTCGCGCTTGCTCAACATTGCTCTTTTGCGGTGGCTCGAAGGGCTGGATAGATGGACGGAGCAGACAAGGTCTGCCGGAGGAAGAGAGAAAGAGAGAAGGGTGCAGGTGATTTCGAACGTGCGATATTCTGACGGATTTTCTCGTGATGTTTACATTTGGCCGATTGTCGCGTTGTGTGTCTATCGAGGTGACGACGACGAGATGACGGCGATGACGACGGCGACGATGAAGATGATGACGATGACGATTATAATGATGACAGTGGTGATCGTTGTTAGTCACGTTTAGTAGAGCTGGTTTTAATTTTGCGAGGATATTACCGCAGCTCTCTCCAGCATTCTGCGAAGATGTCGCGTAAGGTATCCATAATCTCAGAAGATGTCACGATAATTCTCGACTAGACTGCAATATATCTTCGAGTTACTCTTCGCGATCAATGCGGCACTTACTGTGCCGCATCTACACAGATGCTTAAAAGCACACAAACAATTTTTAGTGACATTCCAACATTGTTTCCGTGTGACTTTTAAGAACTTTGATTATTGCCAGGAAGTTGAAGTCTAATCACTTTTTCGAAATATGACACGTGAAGAAAGAATGTCAAATGTATAAGGCTTTTCATTGTCGCTTAATATTCTCATTGACCTAGCCTTGAACTGCCTCGATATCATCTCTGTCTTTAAATAAACAAAACTATCTACTTATAAAAGAACTGATCTGTCGATTCATATTGCATTATCGTATTAAACTACACTCTGTCCAAAACTTTCTGAGATTATAGTTCGTCGTAATAGCGCGCTGGACGCCCGCAACAGAGTGATGCACCCTCATAGAACCAGCGAAGATCGCTGGACTAGACATAGAGTTCGTATCTTCGCGAAACGTTCACTCTGGTCACACGGCTGTACAGAAAAAGCGTCATCTCAAGGGGTAGGACTAGATGGTGTGTTAGAGACAGACGGATATTAGGGAGCAGCAATTACATGAGAAACGTTATACACAACCAGCGAGACTCGAGACTCTCGCCGCAGGCAGCGTTCGCGATTCGCGACTAAGTACACCGACGCGAACGTTCCCGCGAGATCGATGAAGCTTGCATTAAATGGATAGAGATTTCTACAGTACTGTTCAATGCGATTTATTGCTGCAACTCTGTTTACAATTTTCGCGCCGCACACACAGAACATAAAGCTTCGGAGAGCCCTGTTCCAAGCTCGAAGCTTACAAACTTAGACTCAGTTATACGGTGGCCCTTGCGACGAGATCGAAGACTACCTGCGCGCTCTACACCGTCTCTGCCGACTAATCCGCCGAAAATATAAGCGCAGAGAGAGCCTAGAAGATACCGCGACTCTGCGCCCGTCGAGGAGCGCACGAAATCGTTCGTTAACGCGACTAGTCTTTTAGCTTCTCTAAGTGACGCAGCTGCGCATAATGCACTATCCACAACTCGGGCTACGGCGACAGCGGTCAAAATTCAGGCGGCAAAAGAACATCAGGATCGTCTTCCTGTCGATGCGTTGGCGCACTTTCAAAGCGTGCAATTTTTTCCTTTCTTTTCCTATTGACTTTTTTACGAAAAAAAGAAAAAAAAAACAAACGAAGCGTACAAAACTGTGACACAAGGGAGAAACAGAAAGGGGATTTTAGATTGGCACACGAAGACATTACGATTCCGGCTTCATCGATACCGACGATCGGTCCGAGTGAGTTTCAATTTTTGAGGAGGCTTTATTCTCTTCCTCTTTTCTTTCTCTCTCTCCCTCTCTCAACGAGTCAATGCAGAATCGCGATTTGGATGAAGGCGAGTTTTTTTCGGCGTAAAATAATTTTGTCATCGGGCTCGATGAGGGCGGAAGCTGAACCGGGCGGACACTTAGACGCGGTAGGAGTAGTGGCGGTAACTGGTGCCGCCAGGCAGACGACCGGAAGCGGTGGACTCGTAGGAGGAGCGGTAGCTGCCGGGACCGCCGCCGGACGACGTCCTGGTCGACCTCTCGGTCGAGTACGAGCCGTACGGGCCGCTCTCCCTCTTGACGACGCTCTCCTGGGTGTAGTTGGTCCTCTGAGGACGGCTGCTGTACGGGTCCGCGGAGGAGCTGCTCGAGCTGGAGTTGGTGTATGAATAGCTGTACTGCTCTTGGGCGGACCTCACCCCGGTCTCCGGATAGTCGCGGACCACGTAGTGCCGAGGCGTCTACGGATTCGGGGTTAGACAAGGTCAACGACATGGAGAACAGGCTCGCAACAGTCGAGAACGGAGCGCGCGCGCGCGTTGACGAGTCTCGCGACTTGGTTCTTACTTCACTTGGCACACCTGGTGTATCACCGCGAGAAACGCAAAACAGTACGAGCCCACGTATTTTTCACGTTGCCATTGCTACGTTATACACACACATGTTTTATGTTTCATTACGCTCGCGCGGAGAAACGTTTGCGGAATTCGCGAGACGTCGGCTTTCGCGAGTGGCAGTTCCGCGTTACTTGCGAACTTTAATCAGCGGACTAGTATTATTTTGCATTTTAGAGCTTGATGTGACTTTGGGCTAATATAAACGCCCGCGGGACGTTTGTTTTGTAAACCTTCTTGGAGGTAAGCTCTTCGAGCTTGGAACGTGTGGCGTGGACGAAGGTCTGCGCGGCTACTTTCTCGCACGCGGCAACACGAAATTGAAAACTTTTGCAAACTTTTTCGTTCGCGTCCACATCTGCGCGACACTTTCGCAGAATGTGAATATTGGATGAGGACGTCGTAGTATGTGTGTGTATGTGTGTATACGCATGTGCATGTGTATCTGTCGTGCATGTGTGTACATACAAAGTGCATCACGAAATTATGACAAGTTCTCCAACAAATCTGTTTCATTAAAAATATAAAATTTCGCCAAAAGAAAATGATGGAAGAAAATTTTGCATGGTTTAGTGAATTCTATACTGTTCTGAGATTTTCTTGCGTCTATGCATCCGTAAAAAAATCGTGTTATGAGAGGATAAAATTCATTAAATCAAATCTCCATCTTCTATATCTATCTTTACTCTGAAGTAAGTGTCAAAACGTCAGTTGCATGACGTATCCTATATACAGGATTGGTCATTATCTTCGTTTTAGGACAACTTTCGCGGTTCTCTATCCGCTGGCCTGACGAATCTAGGAGACAGGGTTGCGACAGAGAGAACTCTATAGATTCGGATATCTCACGATCGACTGGAGAACAGATCGCGTTTGAGAAGGAGAACATCTTGCCTGCGTCATTACAGTGACTTTGCCAAGTATCCAAAGTTGAAAATATATTCTTCGTATCATATCAAGATTGGCTTTAGATTGACGATTAAAGGCGAAATTAACGAAAATACTCGTAGAAGGAAAGCCCATTTCCAGCCTCTGGGACAGTTTTAAAAATAAATCTTGGATAAGTCGACACGTAGAGATTGCAGAAAACGGCCAAGAATTTTCCCTCTTTCCCTTCTCGTTCAAGACACACACGCGACAAGATGCCCTCGTTTGCCTAAAATATCGTCCGGTCTTATTCTCCGGTGTTCTTCGAAGGAGAGAGACGGGTGAACCGAAGATGCGCCGCTACGTCGTCTGGCTCGACGTAGTCCGTAACTACTCGCTACTCGCGTCGTGCATGGATAATTAATCCGTGCCTCGCCTCGAGTACTCGTCGTACTTGTCGCTGCCAGCTCGTCTATTCTGAGAGAGAATCGCGCGAAGTTGTCGGCGAACTCCGACCAGTAATGCCGCCCAGATGGTCGGCTGGGCTTGTGGCCAGGGGAATGTCTGGCGAAATCCAGACGACGCTGGAACCCGTCGCGATTTCGAAACTCTGAGACCCGAGATGTGGCAGTCTAAAGACGCTCAAGCGGAGGCGATCACTTCGTGATCAAACGGATAATCCGCCATTTTTCGTGCTTTGTTGCGAATTTTCCATGATTATTCGGCGCTTTGTTTATTTGGGAGAAGACGCGCGAAAGTCACGTTGCCGTCGTGTCGTTGGGAGACAGAGGGATGCGGAGTTCATTTTCGACGCACTCGGCTTCACGGGTGCACCCCGTGAAACGAAGTAAATGTCGCGTACAGTTAGCGTCATGTGTATCATGTACACAGAAAAAAAAGATTTGCTAATATATGGACAATTAAAAATATTAGCTGCAGGAGCAAATTTTTTTGCTTTCATAACAAAGTATTTATTTGTGTTAACTAATATATATATATTAGCAAATCTTTTAGTGTACCATTCCTTACACTGAGAGTTACACGATTTTCAATTTTACACGTGTACACCTAAGGTATCCACATAAAGTCGTTGCAATTGGAGTTGCTTGTGCGATTTTCGAGTTTATGCTTATACGCACGAAAGAAACAACTCCGTTGGAGTAATTGAGTTTTCTTTTATCTGAGTTAACTAAACGAAAATTGAGTTGCGCGAATAGAAAGATTCCTGCGGAAGACTTCTACTCAACGCCCATTGCTCTCAATTATCTCGACCGAGTTTTAATGCAGCTGAATGTTTTCGGTCGCAGTAACAGAAATATTATCTCTTGTCAACGTGATTTTGAACGCTGATAGTCCTCATTCAGTCCTACGAACTGAAATCTTCTCCATGTGCGTAAGACTGTGTAAATTTTGTAACTCTCAGTCTATACGGAAAAAAAA